AATAAGTGAAATGTAGAAAGGTGCAGCTACTCTCATAATGCTTTTAACATAGTATTAACCCCTTTAAAGACGTAACGGAGACATTGTCCAATCAGCACCGACCAAAGGCAATGTTGGGTCACATTCCAAACAATCGTATTCAATGTGCATTTCATAGTACATGTATGCGTTTTGTTGCCTGCCGTTTTAATTCTCAAATAAAGAAAACACTGTTTTTCAAAACCTGTACGAATATCTAAGGACGTTATACCTCTGTTTTATATAGTGCTCCAAAACAGAGCGTTTTCTAGCTTGGTCGAACGGACAGAATGAGCGTCCTCGGTGAGTTAATCATGGTCATGCTAAAGTACTTTGTTTCAGTTAGACTCTAAAGTTTTACGGCACTTGCAACACATTTTGGATCATATAAGGGCCGAAGATTAGATTCTAGATGTGTTACAAGAGAGTAAAAACAACAACAAAAAAGAAGAAGGAGAGATAAGGACGATAGATGGTTGATAGCAAAGCAGTAGCGAACCATACCAGAGCACCCACTAAACACTTACAAAGTACTTTTGCTACAAAAGAATTACGAAGTTTTATTTGGCACTTTTGGTCGTTTTAAGTTACAAAGACCATGAGACCAGAAACTAAATGTTCTACCTACTCTATCAAAATCGTAACATTATTCTGGGTCGTTATCAACCAAGATGTTCAGAGAATTGCATTCGAAAAAGCTTGACATGTGAAACGCAAAATTTTCAACTTCGCATTTCTCAAAGGAAGTGGTTATTCTCAGTTCTCACTCCAATAACATTTGTCTCGCTATTCTCCCCCCCCCCCCCCTCGTTTTACCGGTAATGACCCTAGAGGGATCAGGGCTGAGGTTACCGAGGCTGATGCCTCACCGTGTTCGTGTCCGAATAGCCACAGTTAGGTCAGGGTTGTCAGTTTGGTGCAAAATCCCAGAAATTTGGCTCTTTTGTATCGCGTCTGGCCCCGGAGAATTTCATTTGGCACTCTGGCTCTTTTTTTGGCTCCAAACTCCAAACGTTCAAGAAGAAGGGGAAAGAAGAGCCCAGAAAAAAAAGAAAAAGAAAGAGCAAAAGAAAAAAAATGAAAGCAAAGAAAAGAGCTTGGATTGCTTGGTAAAATTATTATTAAACTAGTCAACACGATTTAACGCCCTCGCCCATTTAGGTCTGAATTATTTACAACCCTTCTACCGTCATGCAAGAGCATAAATTCTAGTCTCGTGCTCTCGTCTTGTTATGTTCGTACACGCTCTGTTCCTTGAACCATAATAATTGTGTACAGGCCGTACAGGCAGAGAGGCCTGCCATCGATAAGTGTGTAAACAATAAATTGTCCGCCAGCTACCGCATTAGCGTCGGTAGTGAGACACAGAGTCTAGATTTAATTTATTTTTATTTTTACTGGAGAGGCGAAAAATATTTTTGCGTTATTACTATTCTATTTGTTGTTCATAAAAGATGAACATCTTTAGCAAAGATCTGGTTAAGATGATCATATCTGTTTCAAAAGTCTGCATCGTAATTTTCCATGTATCCCATATCCCGACTTTAATTCTGTAAGAGCGCTCCTTCATCTTATGGGAAGGAACGTTTGAAGCAGGCCGAACTATAATTATTTTACATTTTAAAAATATAGATCTAGATATAGATCTACATCACTGTCGATGTCCAGGGCGGATGAGAATAGCGGGTCATGAGCATTCTCAGTTAATATAGGTGGCCTTTCTCAAAAGTGGGTAGATCTACTGAGCAGATAGAACTTTGTTATACTGTGGTAGCGCTTTGTTTGTAGACGTCTGTTTTTGTCGGCAGACAGTATCACGTGAAAACCAGAAGGTCAAAGGGTGCAGTGAGCTGGTCAAAATGACAGAAGAAGAAGAGGCCATCCGTTTTTGGACAACATGATATCGTGAGCTCGTGTGGAATACGTCACTGGGATTAGTGGATCGTGTTGTACAATCTTCAGTATAATTTATGTACACTGTTCTATTATTCTTTTAAAAACTGGTATAATTATTTCTAATTAGTCGGAGTTGATGAGGCTACCGGGTACTTTTCTTATTGCATAGTCGACATGTCCTGTCTCCTGGGGAAAAAGTGTCGTGACCATCGTAATAAACAAAGAAACGGCCAGAGTTCTCGACAACAGTCCACCTCCTAAATTATCTTGATATTTAAAAGAGCACAAACATTTATAATAACAAATGAAGGAATGATAGGGTAATCGGATGGTCAACTTGTCTAAGACCGCCTCTCGTTGTCTTTGACTTGCGGACGTCTTGAACAGTGTGATTATGATATTGAAATAAACAGAAGAGGGGAGGGTGGAGTGGGAAGTGGTCGTTTGTACAGGTGACTGTTTTGATCAGGAGGCCGTCAGAGCAGGTTGGACTGTACAGTATAAATAACGTTAGTAAAGATCTGGTTGCTGAGTTGAACAGGTGGGTTAGAGGTTTTAAGCTCCTTGGTTAAGAGCTATAACGGCAATCAGGCGCGCACGGAAAAATGGGGGG